TCTGGCTAAAAGCAGAAGCCAGGATGCCTCTGCCAAGCTCAACTGTCTTTAAGACTGCTTCTATACAGTAATGAGCCATGAACGTATATATATTGACGTCCACATGGCTGCCTTGTAGATAGTGTCTGGGAACACTCAAACTGCTGCTGCTCACAAGGTTGAGACCCTTCGAGTGGACAGTGATGCGATCCCCCTGGCACAGCCAACCCTTTCAATTTGTAGGCCAAGTAGATGAGCTTTGCCAACCAAGAGGCAATAATCTTATTGGAAGCAGTGAAATCATTACATGTCCACCTGGAATGACAAACAAGTGCTCTGACTTCCTGATGCCAGATGACGCCTTGATGTAACATTTTAAAACTTGGCCCACATCTGAAGGGGCTAACTTCTTGGTTACTCCCCAAGAGGGACATAGGATGGACACCTTTTTGCGTGATATGGACTATGAAGGCCACTTAGACACAATCTTGAGCATCAGCTCAACACCCAGTCTAGGATGAATGTAAGAAAATGTTCTTTAAACCCCAGGGCCGCTAATGCAGACACTCTTCTGGTTGATGAAATTGCCACCAGGAATGCCATTTTCAGCAACAGATACCACAGGGGGCCATTTTGATTGAAGGCATCTGATGCAAACAAGTCCAACACCAATGGGAGATCCCAATTTACAAACAACAATCCCTTAGGTAGGTTTCAACCAAGTTGCAGCATGAAGAACCGTATAATTGAGTGTTGGATACCCACTGTATGCTGGCGAAGGCAGAGATAGCTGAAATGTGAGCCCATAGCGTACTTATGCGTAAACCTAAATCAAGCCTTGCCTACAGAAACAACAGAATGTGACAGACTTGTGAAAAGCCCAGTGTAAAACCTTGATCAGCGGCAATCGTGTAAATTTATATCATTCTACTTTAGGCACTGTTAGTACAGTTCTTCTTTGTTTTCATAAGAGTATCCACAACCTTTACAAAGCACCTGAGAACTATTTGCCTCTGCCTCTCAAGACCCAAGCCATGAGCTTGAGCTTTGTCAGATGTTGGACAAATGGGACTTTGGGGAAGAGCTGATCTTAGCGGCAGAATGCGTGGATCCTTGAAACTCATTAGGAGGGGCAGAGGGTACCATGCCCCCTTTGACCAATCTGGAATCACCATCAGAATTATCACCTTCTCCTGCCACAGCCTCTGCAGGAAGGTGCAAATCAGAGGGAGAGGAAAAAGGCATAAGCTGTCCTGAAGATCCACTCTGCGATCAGCATCTCCACCCTAATTGCTTGGGGATGCTGGACCATGGAGTAGAACTTCAGCAAATTGGTGTTGACTGGGGATGTGAACAGGTCTACTTCTGGAAGAAATTACAAAGCCCATTAGTTCTCAAAAGACTTGCTGCAGTCTGAACCATTCATTATCGTCCAGGATTCTCCTGGACAAATAGTTTGCCTAAAGATTCTTCTGACCAGCACATAGGCTGCAGATAGCTACAGGATATTGACTTGGGCCTACTCTAAAAACTGAGAAACCTCCTTCAGGAGGGAGAAACTGAGTGCCCCCTTGTTTCTGGTTGTAGGCTAGTCTTTGTGCTGTCTAACTCAGGACAGGTCCACCCTGGATGAAGTGACTGAAATTCCATTCTTAACTCCAGGATGTTGGACACCAACTTAGACCCTTGAAAATGCCATTGGTCCTCAGCCCATTGCTCCTGAATTAGGGCTCTCCAACTACTTTGCTGGTGTCTGACTGCACCTCCAGTCACTAAGTCATCAGATGGGAATGACATTGCAGAAGATTCTACTTCTCTAACCACAAGTTTAGGCTCACTTTCATTCAAGGTGTAATCCATATCTTCTGACCTAAGCCCTCTGACTGCTACCATTCCAGAAACCCGACTTGAAAGGGGATGAGAGTTCAGGTGAGCCTACCTGACCTGCTGGAGTGAGGCAATTTATGTGGCCTAATCTGAAGGATGAAAAATCTCCCAAATATGGCCTGAAATGCTTGCCTTGAAGGACCATGTGTCCGTCATCAAATGCCCATAAGACATGTATGGATGGCACAATCCCCAAAATACCATAAAGCATCCTGACATGAAGCTCTTCGCTGACTTCTTGCATTATGTGCTGGCTTTTTCTTTTGACTCCCATCCAGAAATGCAGAAGCTACCGTCTTTTGAGTGAGCGTGGAAGCTGACTCTTGAACTTTAGTCTCCTTTAACTCAACAGATGTTCATCTTGAGACAGGAAGCAAAACTGACCACTATTAATTTAGGTTTCACAAGATCAAGAACAATGCAGTGACCAACTATGTCCTTGAAGGCCGCAAACATCTTCTAATGTTAAGGTCATGTATCTGGCTAGTCCCATAAGGGAAACACCGACCCAAGGGGTGATTCAAAGCCATTGACATTCTGCTGTGACAACTTGCTTCAATCTTGTAGAATGAGTTCTTGATTCAGTAAGGGAATTGGTGGCACTTAAAATACTTCCACAGCTTTGCTTCTATTTAAAGGCATTCCATCAACCTTACAAAAGGAATCAAAAACCTGGACACAAGTCGTCCTAATCTTGTTGAGAAGGGACTGAAAAGGATTGATTGGGTTGAGAAGGCTCTGAGACCAGTTATAATTACCCTAAAAGGAAGACTGGATCTTTGCAGAATAGATGGCCTTTGCAGAAGGTGAATTCAGCATTTCCTTTAGAGTGTCTTGACCACATGCTTGATTAATTGTGACAACTTGGTCACCATCACACTGTCTACTTGAACAAAGCAGGAATTAGACAGTTGTGTTCATCCACACATTCTTTGGATGAATCTGACAAGGATTGATTTGTCTGAGAAGGTTCTGAGAAAGCGAATTAGCTAAATATATTACCCATTCACAAGGAGAGTAGAACAACTCCTTTTAGAATGTATTGACCACATGGTCAATGAATCTGATAACTTCAACCTCTTTATTCCTGATTGCTTGAACCAGCAGGGTTCATACAGTCATGCTCATTTGACTGTTCTTTTGGAAGTCTGAAGAGGATTGTTTGCCAGGAAGGCTGGGAGACTGCTCCTCGATAGAATAGATAATCTCTTCACAGTGTGAGTGGAAACACGCTTTTACAGTGTATTAGCCTCATGTGACCACCTGTTAGGTGTCATCATCTTTATCCTTGGTTGCTTGAACAAAGCCATATTCATGCAGTCATGTCTGTCCACATCGTCCTCTTTGGAAATTCTGAAGAGGGATGCTTTGGCTTGGAAGCCTATGCAGCTTCTCATTGCCAAAGCAGGTAACCCTTTCGAAGGGTAAGTGAAATCCACTCCTTTTTTAGAGTGTTTTGACAGTGTGTTTATTGAATGTAACATCCTGCTAGGTGTCATCATCTCTATTGCTGGCTGCTTAAACCAGCAGGATACAGTCATGCTCGTCCACATCTTCCTCTTCATAGAGTCTAAAAAGGCTGTCTTGTCTGGCACGGCTATGAGACTTTTAATTGCCAGAACATATAACTCTTTCACAGAGTGAGTGGAAACAACTCCTTTTGAGTGTACTGGCCACTTGTTTAATGAATGTAACAACATGTTAGGTGTCATCATCCTCATGTTTGGTTGCTTGACAAAGCAAGATTTATATTGTCATTTTCATCTGTCTCTTCCCCTTTGGAGAGTCTGAAGAGGCTGTTTTGCCTGGGAAGGCTATGAGACTGTTCACTGTTAGAACACATAACCCCTTCACAGGGTGAATGGAACACTTACACTCATGTTCATCTCACAGCCATGTTCATCTGTGTTTTGAAAAGTCTCAAGAGTGTTGTTTTGCTTGAGAAAGCTCTGCTCATTGCCAGACAAGATACTCCTTTCACAGAATAATAATTTAATGAAGTAGAAAATAGCTTACTTAGTAACAAACCCTAACGGGTTAACCACTGCTAGAGGGATGCCGATACTTCAGCTTCCAACCATAGCCCTGATGTTACCAGGTGGTTAATAAACCAAACCTTGCCCTGCCAGAGAACTGGATATGTAAATGTTTTGTTAAGAAGAGCAACAAAAAGGTATTAATCTGCAACAGAATCACAATATTACACAATGTACACACACCACCCAAGGGAATTGTTGACATCATAAAGATGCTCATATTTTTTTATTTTATTTTTTTAGAAACTGGTCAGCACAATCAAATCTAAAAGGGATGTCCAATACTCCAACAGGCAATGCTGGTTACAGTAGTCATCCACGGGTGACTCCTCTACCTTCTCTGGGAATGTTGGTATTTTGAGGGGGTTGGTATAATGGCACAATAGTAAAGCAAACATGAGAAGCCACCAACAGGTAATGCCATATGTGAACAGACAAAGTATTATTTTGTACACCTGATATGCAGAGTACTACCTCTGGAGGAGCTCAAGGTTTGCACAACATTACCTAGCAATGCAGCATTCATTTGGATGCAAAGCATTTTTAAATTTAGCTCACTCACCCCCTCCATCTGACTGTAAACACTGGCACTGCATGGGTGTGCATGCCTGGGGGAGACTGCTGACACCACTGCCCACTTCACATGGACCCAGCAGACCCCAGGCAAGGCTGTTAGCCTTGATAAAAGCCACCCCGAGGTCCAGCAGGAGGGCTTCCTGGATTATGGGTCATTTAGCCGGTACACCAGGTACTGTGCCCAGCTGAAACCCACACGCACGGACGGGCAGCCAGCCCTTTAGACCAGCAAGGTAGAGAAGCACATCTAGGTCCTGCAAATGGGAGAAAAAAAGAGGAATGCTGAGGCTGCAGGTGGGCTCAAATTTATGAGTTCGGTCCTGGAAGCATGGGGGGGGCCTTACCCAGCTGTGCTGATATGGATCTGTCAAGAAACATTATTTATATGAAGCTGATACCATTTCTATATGCAAAAAATTTAAATTCATTTGTTTAATGGCTTTGTCTGATGGTATCCATCTATTCCACATACATACATGCAGTTACATAAAAAAATGTTTTTATTCTCTTATAATACAATAGGACTGGTGGCTGTTGAAATGACAGAAAGAAAGACTTGCTTTTGGCGACATCAGAAGGGAACGCCAGACACTTACCTCTCAACAATAGAGGCTATTTATTACTTTATGGTGGACTATCACATACAGATTCTAGAGAAGGACTACCATGGTGAATATGACAACCTTCTTTTCTTCTATTCCTTTATGTACAAATTGATAAAAAATGCCAAGCATGCTGCTGGAAAGTTATAATAAAGTATTTTGGGGGAGGACTAATTTGGTGCTTTTACTTAAGCTGAAGGGATGACGTGACCAAAACTTTGGTTTGGCAGCATTGCATGCAATTGTTGCTCCATGTGCCAACACTGTCCAGTAAGAATATGGAAAATTCCAATGGAAAGTAAGATTACCAAGATAAATCCTGAGATTTTTGTATCAACAATAAAATCATACTTCTCATTCCTACGCTGATTAGTGTGTTTTTTCTGCTTATATAATTTAACCAAATTGGTTGGTGAATACCAATTGGGAACATTCTGTTGACAATGTTGGGTCACGATATTTTATGCTCTTGTATGGGCTTCAAAGGCCTTTCTTTGATGTACAATAGTCCACATTACAGAAGCTTACTTTATAACTAACCATTTTTGCTGTAGAAGCAAGACTCGTATGTGTTAACGTCTGTATATAACTGTAGTTTTCTTTGGAAAATATTTACAAAAAGCTATCTTTTGCTTCCTAAATGAGGCTCTCACATATTCAGTCTTTAGTTTCTGAAAGAAAAGCTTTAGTTCCAAGAGTAAATAATTTTATCCATTTAGAAAGCTTCAGGGGTGCCAGAGCATGAATAAATAGAATTCACATAATTCAAAATGAAAGTTTTAAAGTGTTAAACCCCCAACAGTAAAATCAGTCTGTATATGCAGTAAAGCATGCTTGATATACTCACTGTGCAACCTAAGAGATTAATTCTCTGCATTGTGTAAAAAGAATGTTTTCTCCTCTCTTCTCTGATCCTCCCCTTCGTCTACTGTCTCCAATCCATATCCTGACATAACAGAGCCTTAGGGGCAAGATGCACGTGCTCAGTTTGGTGTGTATTGCTAGAGATATTTGTTTTTTTTTTAATCTTGGGAGAGTGCATGTGATCAGCACAGGGCCAATCAGCACTCTCCAGACAGAGGGTCAGGGTTCATGCAGCCTCATAGGACTGCCAGGGGAGAATGAAAACTCCTCCTCCAAGCTTTAATCAGTGCTCTGCTGGACACTGATAGAAGTCACACAACTACTTTAATTGCTGATGACAAAAAAGATATTTAGCAGATTGTATTTACTAAATTAAAATTATTTCCATGTTCTGTGTACTGTGGGAGACCATATATAGTGAATGCAGGGTTCTGGGTTTAGTATCACTTTAAGTAATACTTCAATCAGTCCATATAGGGTCTCATCTAAATATGAATTTGAGCATAATAATTGACTTCTGCTGGAATCGCTGAATGGAAACAGGGAACATGTTAATGTGCAAGTACACTAGATAAATGAACGGCTTTGAATCTATAAGTATTTATTTTTTTTATATACATTACTCTTAAAATTACTCTTACAGAGTGGGTTCTCCTTCCCACAGCAAGGACTAACTTTGTTTCCCTGACAACTGTTGTTCTTCACCATTGTCCGATGCTATGGAATGTGAGTGGACCCCCTGCAATCCTTCCATACAATGCAGGACTGCTGGACCAACATTCTACTGGATGATGTCACAGAGCTGTGACCAGGATAATCGGTCGCCCCGAAGAGAAGAAAGCTGTTGGGAGTGAGGTATAAGGTAAGTATATCACTGCATTCATTATCTTCTAGGCAAAGCAAGCAGTTAATCCTTTGCAGTGGGGAAGGGAACCCACTGCAAGGGTAAATTCCCCTCCTCCCCCCTCAGAAATTCCTTTTTAAATAGCTTTTGGTATAATCTATTGCTAATTGTAACCAATAGTCTTCAGAAGTTACAAAATGAGTATAATCTGTGTCATTATAGTATTACATGGACTCATATCTGTTTCTGGAAAATCTCAGTGTTTGTTAGAGAGCATATGTAACCAAATAGCTAAATGCATAACAAGAAGTCAAAATAGTTCCAGGCTAAAGTTCTGCAGAACCACCAATTAAGGTGTTGGTTTCATTATAAGCCCGGCAACTCGACGACGTAAAAGTGGTTGTATGAAGGTTTATTCTAGGCATGAAGGTAAAAAATCTTCTCTATGCAGCAGCCCCCCCTAGTACTCACCTAAGCCCCTCATGATCCAGCGATGATGATGAGTCTCGGCAATCCCAGGACTCCCTCTCCCCATTGGCTGAAACAGCAGCTGGAGCCAGTGGCTCCCACTCTTGTCAATCACAGCCAGTGAGCCAGTGGGAAGAGAGAAAGGGTGAGGCCAAGCAGGGGCTCCATGTGTGAATAGACACACGGAGCAGTGGGTGCCCCCATAGCAAGCTGCTTGCTGTGGGGGCACCCGACAGGAGGGAGGGGCCAGGAGTGCTAGCAGGGACCCCGAGAAGAGGAGGATAAGGACTGCTCTGTGCAAAACCACTGCAGAGAGCAGGTAAGTATGATATGTTTGTTATTTTAAAACCTGTAAGCCTTTAACACACTTTAAACGTTTTTATTGGCTACACAAGCACATCCTGTAAAACAATGCTAATGTGTTTCGGCTGCTGTGGCCTTACTCATAGCATACTAACACTCAAAATGATCACAGCTTTTATGGGTTCCAGCATCTCCTGAAAAAACAAAAAAGAAAGCGCCAATCAACAATATCAATCCTCTCCAGCAGCAAACCTTTAACCCAAACTATTGGTAAAATGTAAAAAATCAGCAATAGGAATGCGCTAAATATATATCAAAATTAACATCATAAATATATGTGTAAAAAGTCCAAACATAAAAAACTTTTTAGTGAAAATAATCCATAAATTTCGTGTATATAAGTGTACAAAAGAAAGTCCAACACCACAAAGAACAGAAAATTTTCTTCTTTAAACATATAATTCCACCGTGCTTTATCCACCACCAAATGAATGGAATGAACTCACCAGAGCTCAATGCTGATTAGATTATAAATCAGCACAAGCGCGTTTGCTCTGGGAGCGATGAGTAAGTAGATCATGAAGTAGCACTCTATAGTCTAGACACTTCCAGATAGCAGGAACAATACTCTGCAGTGATTTTTTGAGGTATAGCCAAGACTCCTTATACAACGATCATCCTCCAATTGTATAGAAAAATCACTCAAAAATAAAGAAAAGGCATGATGGTGCAGCAAGTAAGAACCATTTAAAACTTTTATTTCAATTGCATCCTACTCACAAAATGAAGTGTCCACCTGACACTGGTATAGCAAGCGATCAAGTATATGGAATGGACGAGCCCCGTTCACCGCGGACACCTCGCCGACAGCTCCAGGGAACGTCCTGACGTCATCCAATAAGCTCTGGTGAGTTCATTCCATTCATTTGGTGGTGGATAAAGCACGGTGGAATTATATGTTTAAAGAAGAAAATTTTCTGTTCTTTGTGGTGTTGGACTTTCTTTTGTACACTTATATACACGAAATTTATGGATTATTTTCACTAAAAAGTTTTTCCAGCATCTCCTGGCCAGCCAATTTAGGAGGAACCCAATAATTAAAATCATTAGTAAAATGACAAATATTAATAGGAAAGCATGTAATGATTGTAAACAAATGTACTGATAATTTTTAAATATATAAAAATATAAGTGTCACTGTTCCAACAGAACATTATTTCAAAAATAAGTCCAGGTCCCTTCTATGATTAAGACTGGAAGGTGCCCTGATGTCCAAGGTGTGTATCCACCAGACTTCTCGCTGCAGTAGAGTATGGTGCATGCAGGTCAGGCAGATGCACACCAGAGCTTCCGGTCTAAACCATAGAAGGGACCTGGACTTATTTTTGAAATAATGTTCTGTTGGGACAATGATGTTTATATTTTTATATATTTAGAATGTATTAGTACATTTGTTTACAATCATTGGTTCAGTGCTTTCCTCTTCCTATTTGTCATTTTACTAATGATTTTAATCATTGGGTTCCGCCTCCTTAAGTACTTGGGCTGAAACCCATTAAAGTTGTGATCATTTTGTGTTTTTATTATGCTATGAGTAAGACCACAGTGGCTGAAACGTGTTAGCATTGTTTTACTGGATGTATTTGTGTAGCCAATAAAGATTAACGTTTGAGTCCACAAGTCGCCAGCTTATATCTATTAGCGTTAAAAGTAGTGGGGGGCTGGAGACCTGGTCTAGATTGAAAGGAAGGAGCTAAATATTTTTTTTAATAGGAAAACTTGTTGGAGACATGAGACTGGGCAAAATCTCATGTTCCATGATCATGATTCATGTTTTATTGATAATGACTCTAAACACCAGCGGAATAGATTCAAACCAAGATGCTGAATGTCGTGGAAGTTCAATCTAATTAAATATGTGTGGCAAGAATTGGAAATTGCTGTTAACCAGTGGTCTCCACCCAACTTGAGAACTACAGCAATTTATCTGCATTGTAAGAAGATGCAAAAACTGCAGGATTCAAATATACAAAGCTGGTAAAGACTAACTCCAGAATACTCAAAGCTGTAACTGAAACCAGAAGTTCTACCAAGTAATTTCTCTGAGGGCAGCTTTCCATTCAACAAACCAACAAAGGTTCCTTTCATACATACAGTGCACATACATGACTCATACAATACAATGATCCTGGTGAAGAAGTAAAAATATAGAGCATCATCAAGCAAAGGAATTGGTATTCATAAATTCGTAAATGAACATAATAAGCCTTGCTAGGAGAAGCATCATCCATGTCCAGAAGTTAAGGCATTACATTAAAAATCTAATTGAAGTTTTGTACTAGCCTGGTATATTGGTTTTCAGGGTTTTTTGTAATGGATTTTGTTACTGGGAAATGTCTTCATATATGGCTATATGAGCCCTCAAACAAAAAAACTCAAAAACAATACAAAGGTTATTGGGGGAAAACAAGTATGTAATCTAACGAAAGTGTGCTGTGATTTTGTATGCCAAGTCTTTGAGATTTACATTCTGAAAGACATATTTCAAAATGTTGCATTCCAGAATTATTTGAAGTTCAATTCAAAATTCCACTTCATAGTCTTTCACAAAGGTCTTTCATATGTACTTGTCAGGAATGGATTCAGCACTGGTGGTGGGACTCTCCTGCCG